GTACCCACTGTTTATGCACTGCAGTGGCTAAACTCTTTGCAGCATCACTTTTAATACTCACATTGAATACACATTGAATAATACTAAAGTTATCTCCATGTTATAGATGAGAAAACTGTGACCTAGAAGAATCACATCACAACGGTATCAACAATGTACCAGTGTATAGTCTACCAGCAAGAGAACTTTCTTTCAACTTCAACTTCCTTTAGCTGTTCCAAGGGTCAGAAACAGTGTTTGCTGGCTTTTTGCATGATTGTTAATGAGGAGAGGCTTCGCGTGACATAATACTCCAAAAATCCCCCAGGGTCATTTTAGAAACAATTGCCCTGGGGTCTGGCTAGACCATTTGACGTACATTGTAAAGCACAGACCATGCCTTGCCACAATTACCTGCTGCACAACTCATATGTGGTGTGCATGGGTTTAAATTTTTCTCAGAGATAGAACAACAAGAAGGCAGTTATGGTATGTACTGGAAATGACACTTGACTTATAGTCAGAAACGGGTTCAAATTCCAATTATATCACTTGTTTACTTACTTGAGCAAATCTCTTCGATTCTTGGAACCTTAATCTCCCCATTTGTAATATAATAATGATTACATATAATAGTTAACTCAAAGGGTTTTTTAGGCTAAATTGATTTCTTTAAACATGTACTGTTAAACAGAAACACTCTTTTAAGGTATTTTACCACATTTTCTCGTGGTCCAAACCAAGATTTCATTTCAGTAAATCGAGTGATTGACAGGTCTTACTTGCTATACCTTTATCTCTATTCCTTCCCCTCTCTACTCTAGGCTTCTCTATGAAAAATCAAATAAGGAATTTTAATGTTAACTTTCATTCAAACACATACACATGTAAAAAACCACACAAACAATACTTGTATTTTATGGCCAGAATTTCCCTATTTCCCTCATGCCCTTCCAGTGATATCAAAGCTTTAAAAATTGAAAACTACTTCATTTTTTAAAAGAGGAGAAAAAAAGATTGTGAATTCTCATTTATTACTGTGCCTTCTGAATTAGACATTAGGAAACTCAGAATTCTAGCCATTCTGAGGCTAGCAACTCAGGTCTAGCAACATTATTTTCTCAATTGAGTTCCTCAACTCTTTAGCAATTATGTTTACATTTTTTGTGACATCACCTAATCTAGAACAGATTCCTTAGTTATGATGGCTTTTAGTGACCGGAAATGAGGTGGTAGGAAACCCACCCTGACAGGCTGTCTTCTACAGATACCTCTGTAGATCCACAGATTGCCTGCATGTCTCAGAGTCCAAAATTTCCTGAAACAGTCCCCAGGATGTTTTTGGTTACGTCACAGCCAGTGGGTTCCTTGCTGCCTCTACCCCACACTTAACCACATTATTTGTGAAAGCTGTAGCTAGTCCTCCATATAGGGAGGGGGTGGGGAGTGTATATGGATACCTGACAGCGTACCCTTTTAGAAAGATTTCTGATGCCTATGTAATATTAAACGCCCTTATATAATTATTGTTATTAACATGAACCTACCACTACATTTCTCCAAACAACAGAATGACTTTACCTATTAATAGAGTCCTACTGTGTAGTTCTCTGATGTTTATGAAGAAGGATCACATGTATTTGATCTCTTGAAAAAAGTATTAAATAGGATTTCTAAACCATTACATATTAAAACACATACACAGCTGGGGTGGAGGGTACTATACTAATTAAGAGCATGATCAGTCAGAAAAAGTCAAGAAAAGAGGGGAAAGACTGGAAGAAAATAATATAACCAAACACATGATAAAATTGGAGGAATAAGGTAAACAAAAATAAATGTGACTAGGTTAAATTCTAATAAAAATCAGTAACTCTCAGATTGTTTAAAAAGATAATCTAGCTATATACCGTCTTTAGGAGCCATATGTATAGCAAAATAACACAGAAAGGATGAAAAGAGGGGATAGATTAGTGAATGCTAACAAAACAAAAATCAGGACAGTAATGTTAATATTTATAAATGTAGGATAGAATGTAAAAAAAAAATACTAAATGAGACATAGAATAAGAAATACAAATCCAACAAGAGGATTTAACATTAATGAACTTTTATGCACTGAGTATCCTAGCACTGAAAAATCTGTTAAAAATACAAATAAAAATACAGGCCAGGCATGGTGGCTCACGCCTGTAATCTCAGCATTTTGGGAGGCCATGGTGGGTGAATCACTTGAGGTCAGAAGTTCGAGACCAGCATAGCCAACATGCAAAACCCGACTCTACTAAAAATACAAAAATTAGCCAGGCTTGGTGTTGCGTGCCTGTAATTCCAGCTACTTGGGAGGCTGAGGCTCAAGAATCGCCTGAACCCAGGAGGCGGAGGTTGCAGTGAGCTGAGATTGCACCACTGCATTCCACCTTAGGTAATGGAATGAGACTCTGTGTCACACACACAAAATACATATAAATAAAATAAAATAAAATAAAAAAGTTTAAAATACAAATGAAGTTTTTCATCATGATAGTGGGAGACTAACAAAATGTATTCAGTATTTCATCAAGTAGACAAAATAAATAGGAACAGAATGTTTGAATAGCATCATTATCAGTATTGACCTAACCCAACAACTAGGACATCCACACAATTTTTTTAAAAGACCATGGAGCATTTACAAAAATTGGTTAAATACTCAACTACAAAGAAGATGTTCAGTTAACAAAAAATAGACGTGTATTGGCCACATATAATAGTATAGTAGCCTTGAAAATTAACACAAGATGGTTACTGCTCCCACCTCCATCTAATCACTTAGAAATTAAGATATGATCCTTCTAAATAATCCTTGGGTCAAGAAAACCAATACTAAAACTATGGACTATTTAAAAATTAACAATGAGAATATAATGCATCAAAATGTGTGGAATAGGACTAAAAATACACTTAATTAAAGCTAAGGCTTTTATTTAAAAGGACTGGAAAAAATAAGATTGTGACTTAAGAAGCTAGTAAAATAAAATAAAGCAAAACAAAGTGAGAAGAAGGAAATAATAAACGTGGAGGAGGTGCCAGGGTGCAGTGGCTCACACCTATAATCCCAGTGCTTTGGGAGGCTGAGGTAGGAGGATTATTTGAGGGCAGGAGTTCAAGGTTTCCACAAGCTATGATCATGTTTCTGCACTCCAGCCTGGGTGACAGAGGGAGACCCAGTCTCAACAACAAAAAGGCCGGGCACGGTGGCTCACGCCTGTAATCCCAGTACTTTGGGAGGCCGAGATGGGCAGATCACGAGGTCGGGAGATCGAGACCATCCTGGCTAACACAGTGAAACCCCGTCTCTACTAAAAATACAAAAAATTAGCCGGGCGTGGTGGTGTGTGCCTGTAGTCCCAGCTAGGAAGACTGAGGCAGGAGAATGGCATGAACCCAGAAGACGGAGCTTGCAGTGAGCCAAGATGGCACCACTGCACTCCAGCCTGGACGACAGAGCAAGACTCCATCTCAAAAAAATAAAAAGTGAAGGAGGGAAATAATGAAGATAAAGCAGAAGAAAATTAGAGTTGACAGTAAAGCAAGAATGCAGGGTCCCCAGGAGAGCTGCTGCAGTGAGAATGGAAGGCTGAGATAATGGGGTATTAGACACTATCCTTGCCCTCCTTGCATCTTAGGTTTGGTTGAGGTGAAAGGCATGTGCAGAAAATAGAGAATAGGACTGTATTCAATAAAGTGGTCATTTATGAGTATAGCAGTTAGTATTCTATCTATAGCATGGTAAATCTGTCTATAGCAAAGAGTAGCAGTTAGGCTCTGAGTCTCTGCACAGATAGAACTGAACCTGTATGTTGGCTTCAGACTTATCAAGAGACCCCGGAGAGGTTAGTTAACCACATAAAGCTTGATTACTCTGTCTGTAAAGGGGAGATCACAATACCTACCTCACAAGATTATAATGAGAGTTAAATGAAAATATGTATATAAAGCACTTAGCTCAATGTCAAAGCATGGGATACAGGCTTGGTAAATGGTTGCTGAAAAAAGTCAGTGCAGCATTTCTTCCAGTCCTTTCTGGGTACTGGTGAGATGATTAAGGCACTATCAGTTTTTGGTACACTTTATACAGGAGTGGGACAGTAAATAGTATTTAGAGTAGCCAAGTTCTGCCTACCTGGATGAAAAGATTGGGCATTTTGTCTGTGACCATTTGTAAGATATGCCAGTGGGAAATGGTTGAATTAGTCTCTGTCCTTTAAAAGAAAAAAAAATCTATAAAACATCATGCTCCCAAAATAACAGTGGTTCATTAGCTGGAGAGAAAATCCTGGCCACAGCGAGGGGACTCCTGGCCAGTCCTACCACTGTGCACTTACTTGTCTGTCTCAGTAGGAAAACAGAAGCAAGGAGAGCTTTGGATCTGCCTGCTGACCAGTCAGCACATTTGCTCCTCATCAGCCATACTGAAACTCCATCTCGCAACCCCTCAGCATCAATATTAGGTTGCTCAGGCATGATAATGGACTCATGAGATCTTGGAAAAGTAATAGAGTAAACACAAAAGGAGTCAGTAAACCCAGAAAAGAATTGAACACCTTCCTTCTTCCTTCTGCACATGGATATCCAATGTTCCCAGCACCATTTATTGAAGAGAGTGTCTCTTACCCAGTATGTGTTCTTGGCACTTTTGTTGAATGGCAGTTGAGTGTAAGTGCATGAATTTATTTCTGGGCTCTATTCTGTTCCATTGGTCTATGTGTCTGTTTTTATTCTAGTACATGCAGTTGGATATGTCCAACAAATAAAACGTGGTATATATATATACAATAGAATACTATGCAGGCATAAAAATGAATAAAGTCCTGTCATTTGTGACAACATGGATGAACCTGGAAGACATCACATTAAGTGAAATAAGCCAGACACAGAAAGACAAATACCACATGCTCTCACCCATATATGGAATCTTAAAAAAAAAAAAAAAAAAAAAAAAGGTTGATATCACAGAAGCAGAGAATAGAACAGATGGTTACCAGAGACTGGGGAGGGAGGGGAAGATGGGGTCAACAGGTACAAAGTTACAATTAGATAGGAGGAGTGAATTCTGGTGCACTCTTGCACAGTAGGGAGACTGTGGTTAATGGTAAAATATTGTATTTTATAAAATAGCCAGGAGAGAGGTGTTTGAATATTCTCATCATAAATAAATGATAAATGCATGAGTTAATGGATATGCTAACTACCCTGATTGGATCATTATACAATATACATATGTATCAGAATATCATATTATACTCCATAAATATGTACAGTTACAATGTCAATTTTAAAAATGAAATTAAATAGACTCCCCCGTTTTAATTTATATCAATATCTGTATTTTATCTATATTTAGGACTTGATGAGAATTTGTAGCTTGAGGTAAAGTTAGAATGTGTTTGTAGTAGAATGTACCTTGGAATTTTTTAATGTCTGCACATGCTATACATCAAACTACTTTAGTCAAAATATTTGTTCAGTGGGAAAAAAATCAGTGAAAATAAATTATATATCTTAGTCCAAACAAAAAGTAATTGACTGATCTATTTCCTCCATTCTCAGAACACCATCAACTATAAGGTGTAACATCAATTAATAACAGGTAAGGAGGAAAAAAAGACATGACATTAAATGCACACTTCGATTCCAGGAATGTTAAAATATGTGGGGAAAAAAACAGTACCAGCACAGCCATGTATCTTGGGATTAAGCCAGTGCAGAATTCCACTCACTTGGTATTATGGTGTATTGCAGCTGGTAGAGGCCAGGTAGGACTAATTTTATGAAAGTAATTAAACAAAATTTTTTAGTAGTACACATGAGCAGAACTAATTAAAATTGAAGACATGTTTTCTCAGGCCCATCAGTTTATTTTTGTATTCTTTTGTCAAAACAAAACAAAAAAAGAAACCAAAATCATGAACAGTTAGGGAGGTACTATACACGGTGAGCCTGGAGCATCTTGTAGTGCTGGAAAGTGAGGAAGTACTTAAAAACAAAACAGAAAAAAATATTGATAGGAGTATGTCAAAGGAGCACAGAAACCAATGGTAAGAGCTCCCAGTGGCCAAAGCTGGAACAGTTTGAGCAACAGAATAAAGTACTGTTGAATTAAAATGCAAAGCATAAAATAAATACCTGTGCAGCCATACTGGTATAAATAAATGATTGAATACATTAATAAATGTGTATAAGAGACAAATCTTCCATGCAGAAGGATCCCAAATAATTTATATAGACACTCTACCCCGAAGGACTTTCTTCCAAAGAGTATGATATGGAAAGGTGGGGAGAAGCAGCGAGCAGCTTTACAGTGGAGAAACCCGACATGCACTGCCTCAGCCAGGTGATCAAGGCCAACACCAGCAGTATTAAATCATGTGGATAGTACATATACCTGATGCGATGTGACTAAAATGACACTTTACCTCCTCCAAATAACCCATAGCCCCAGTCTTATCAAGAGAAAAAACAAATCCCAATTGTGGCACATTCTACAAAATACCAGAGCAGTATTTCTCAAAACTGTGACGGTTGTCAAAAACAAGGAAAGCCTGAAAAGTGGAGCGTAAGAAGACACGATGACTAAATGTGATGTGGAGTCCTGGATGGGATCCTGGAACAGATAAAGGACAGTAGGTAAGAACTAAGGATATCTGAATAAACCGTAGACTTTAGTTAATAATTATGTATCACTATTGGTTTATTAATTGGTACTTAGGTATCATACTAAATTTAAGAAGTTAATAATACGGGAGACTGGGCGTAGGATATATGGGAACTCTGTACTGTCTTCTCAGTTTTTCTATAAATCTGTAACTGTTCTGAAATATAAAGTGTATTAAAATTTTTAAATGCCTAACCAGAAAAAAAAAAAAAAAAAAAAAAAAAAACATGGACAGAAAGCCAGGTTAGGGATTTTAATGGAAAATTATAAAGCATTTTATTAAGGCCTTTAAAAATTCCACACAGAACACGGCTTAAGCAGAACATATGCGGCTGCTTAGTTGAAAAATGGAACTGGCAGCTTAACCCAGAATGTGAGACTTCTAAATACATTCAAATTGAGTCATCATCATTTTTCATCTATGTAGTATTTTGTTTTTCCAAAGTTCTTGCAATTTCTGACTCCAAGATGGCAAAATTTTACCATTATTCCTGTTTTAAAGCTAATGCCATGTCTATAGCTCGGACAGCCATTTTGACTCAATTGTCTAATCTAAATGTCAATTCAATCAGAAAACCAGCCATCAGCTGTCAAAATGGTAAAAACAGATATGTGTGTTTTCAAAGCCAGAAGTGCAATCATGTGGTGAGACTTCAGGGTTTTACTGTTGTCCACAGTTCTGAGTCCCAGGACTGGTTTCCTTAGTATTCTCCCATGGAAAACTTCATCAGGGAATTATAGGGTAATATTTTCAAGACTTGGAGTATGTCTACAGTTACCTTTCTAAAAAACAAAAAAGATCCCTTTAAAAACATTTTTTAAAAAACAATCATGCCAAGGTAGCCAAATAGAAACAACTTTGGGGTTTTTGCAGTCAAGTCTTACAAATTGTGGAATATTCCCCTTGGTCCAGGAGATCATTTGACTGCCACACACAACTTCCTATATCCACAAATTCCAGTATGTTTGGACCCTCCTGATGGCTAGGGGAATCACAAAAAGAAACAGAAGGCACCAGTGAGCAGAACAAGAAAGCTAGATATGGTGCCCTTGGGCTTGTTGCTTAGTCCCTGCCCCAGCTCTCCTCCAGCCTCTCCAGCTGTACAGGGCAGAGAGGGTCACAGCTGGCACTCTCCTGGTGCTCTTGTCGGGCCAACATCAGAGCCCCCATGGCCAGGACTCACACACTGCCAGGAACCCAGCTCCATTCCGGAGGAAGATGATACCCAGCTCTTTCAAGGGAAACCAAAAGGCTGGTGTATTTTGGAGGTCAGCAAGAGGGAAATGTCTCCCAGTTATTTAGCCCTGGAAGGCTGAGAATACATTGGTTTTGTTTTCTGAACCAACAGTTGGGGCACACTGTCTGACAGCATGACCACATGTGAACTTGAGAGAGTCCCAGGAAATTCAGGGTGTGTAGCCATGGTTGATGCAGGATCCAGAAATATGAACCAAGGCCTGAGTGTGCTCCCTTGATGGTGGTGCCCTCCAGAGAGGAGTGTGGGGACGTCCTGGGTGCAGCACCATCAAGGGCCCTTCCTCAGCTGCCCTGAGGGTGGCATTCCCACGGGCTGACCTAATGACAGCAGAGCACCCAAGCCCCAGGCTCCTCTGTGAGCGCTCTGCCCCTTCTCAGCTGCTCAACTCCAGCCTCAAGAGCCCTTGAGCCCTGGGGCTCAAGACTATCTCTCCCTTCCCCCTTCACTTTCCTCTGGAGTCAGGAGTGCCTGGAGTCCAGGCATGACTTCCCCCTGGCTTATCTCCTCTTTACCTGTGTCCTGGGAACACTCACAACAAGCTGGGGGAGACAATCATTTCCGCAGACACAGGGTTACCCCCATGTGAAGCAAGCAGCAAATTGATCTTATCACATGCCTCTGACCAGTTAGGGAGGCGAGTCAAAGAAGGTGCAGTGAGGAAGTATAATGTCACATGCAACATTTACAGGAAACTGGCTAGAAGACAGAAGGGGAACTTGAGAACTTGGTTGTTTTCAGCAGATTAAAACAACACAGGTTAGTGCTTTTTCCCCCCTGGAAAACTTTTCATAGCCACTCTAAAATGCCTAATTCTCTTTCCTTGAACTGTCTTTAATGATTTCTCTAATGTGAAGAACTTGCTTTTTGGCTTTGAATGTAAGAGCCAGCGCACAGCTGTTAACTGCACATTGTTAGAGGAACAAACATTGAGCCATTATGGTGAAAATGAAATTCTCAGAATCTCTTGCTTCCGTGTTTTAGAACTTCTCTGCTTCTGAAAGAACAAAACTTCAGATGTTCTTTAAATAATTTATTTCGTGGAATTCAGCTAGGCCTCTTGTCATTTTTACCTGTTAGTGTAAATGTGCAATGGGACAGATCAGCCTGTGTTTGCAGACATGTGGGGCATTCAAAGGGTGTTAGAAAATACAGAAATATTGTGCATAAAAACGTGCTTGCAAGGTTATATGCAAAAGTTTGTTGTTTTGTGGAATTTTCATCTCATAAAACTCATCTTTTGGCTTGTATTCAATGTTAATATAATATCTCATGTCATTATAAATTCTTAAGTTTCCTTTTTTATTTTTTCTACTGTCCTCCTTCCCCCTTTTCTTTCCCTCCTTCTTTTACTAACACAAAACAGGAGTAGAGAAGCAGCAGTAGGGACAGCTTAAACATGAGATGAGGAAATCCTTTGCCCGGCACCAGAGTTTAAGAAGCAGGCACAGCCCAGAGCAAAAGCTAAGCAGGCCCTGAAGAGGCCGTGAGGTGTGACGGTTGCGAGAGCTTTTTGTCTTCAGCCTTGTGCTTCCTAGAGAAGAGTGTGCAAAAGAGCCAGAAAGATGGCTAGTGGGTTGGGAAGCAGCAGTCCAGAAACAGAAAGGGCCCAAGATTATTCCTCCTGAGGCCAGTGAGGGATAGTTTCATTACGCAGTGGCCTGCTGCTTTCAGACCTGTATGTGGAAAAAGAAAACGTCTCAAATCCGAGTTAAGAGAAGGAGGTTCCTACATTATTGGACTGCTGTGCAGCTCTAGGACGGGTTAGCCAGAGAGGCTGCGGAGCTCTTTCTGGGTGTTTTTGGGAAACATACTAGACGGCTTCTTTGACTGTGTTAATGTGTTAACTGAGACAGGGAGGATAAGGAGGAGAGGACAGCAAGATCAGGAACTTCCTGTTTCATGTCTTCATTCCAGCCCAAAGTGTTGTAAAATGTGTCTGTATGATAAACAACGAAGGAGTGAGGGGCTCCTGGACTCACTTGTTTATATTCCAGTAATGCCAAATAACTAGAACAGCGATGAAAGAGAAAAATCATGGTTGATTCTGTCTTCCAATTGCCACATTTTTTTCATATTTTACTACCAAGTTGTGCAAGAAAATGGAGAGGAAGCTGACAGAGAATAAGGGAAGATTCTAAGCTAGACATATCAGCCCTAGTGTTTTCAGAAACCCTGCGCTAGCTCTGACAGAGCCAGCCCACATTGTCGACGGGTGTTGGGGGATGGAGGGAAGATTAGATTTATCGCTGGTTGGAGCACTTTGCACAAATGCTTGTAAGAGACATGCACATGGGAACTGCAGTAGGAAGGCCTCTTGTACCTGGTACTGCCCTTGAGCACCAGGAAGAGGCTTACAACTTCGCAGTGGCTGGACATTCCTCAGAGGAACTCTTCTTTCAGTTTTGTTTTGCTTTGTTAGTTGGCTGTACAGCCTTGCTGTTCCAGAAGTCTTATGTTCTGAAAATCTGCTGCTCATAGTGGAAAGGGACTTTTTATCTTTTTATTTTGTTAGAATACTTTCCAGATGGGCCTGATGACTTTTTTTTTTTTTGGAGAGAGTTTTGCTCTTGTCGCCTAGGCTGGAGTGCAATGGCACCATCTCACCTCACTGCAACCCCTGCCTCCCCAGTTCAAGCGATTCTCCTGCCTCAGCCTCCCAAGCAGCTGGGATTACAGGCATGCGTCACCACACGTGGCTAGTATTGTATTTTTAGTAGAGATGGAGTTTCACCGTGTTGGTCAGGCTGGTCTCAAACTCCTGACCTCAGGTGATCCGCCCGCCTCATCCTCCCAAAGTGCTGGGATTATAGGCGTGAGCCACTGCACCCAGCTGCCTGATGTCATTTTTGTAAATGCATCCTTCCAAAAGCTGTTTGTATTTCTTCTGTGGGTCCTTATTCTTTCCTATTTCTCAGCCCCTTCCCCATCTTTCCACTTTCTCTGCACTGTGTTCCTTTGTGTTTGAGATGCAAAAAATGGTTTATAAAGTGCCATCATTATATAAAACCTCTGATCCCCAGGTTCTGAAAGAATGAGTGGAGACCCAGAATGGCAGAAGGTAACAGATCCTGTTGGGTGGTAGAGAGCACCTGGAGTATTAATCTTTTGTGTAAGTTTTAGATAGGAATGACTGCCAAGTTGAATACTGAGTTGAGTTTAAACGTCAAAGTGGAAAGAGGTGAAGTCACCTTTAATCTGGAGAAAAAATCGTGAATTTTGTAGGGAGGAACAGTATGGACACATTCCTTAACTCTCTAAGTAGAAGATGAATGAGGCTGACTTCACAAATCTCTCTTTTTCCTCAACATAGGCAGGCCTCTCCTCCCTGAATCCCAGATAATACCAGAGTGGCACTGCGGGTCGACATCCACAGACAGATGTCTGGGTGATCCTGGCTTCAGAGGGATAAATGGTGATATATACCAAACATTCATGCTAGTGGGGAAAAGAAAGTTAAACTCTGATAAGTACAACTTTTACAACTGAACTCATCCTTGGTATCGTTTTGAGTTGGCATGAATAAATCTGGAGGCCCAGCTCTCTGGATTTCTCTGAAAGAAGTTCCCGGGCATTTGTAAGGTATTATTGTTATCACCATCATATTGGGAAATACTAAGAACTATAGGTTTTTTTGGGGGGGGGTTAATTGTGATAAAGGACACATAACAAAATTTACCATCTTAACCATTAAGTGTACAGTTCAATAGCGTTAAGTATATTCATATTGTGCAACCAATCTCCAGAACGCTTTATTTTGCAAAACTGAAACTTACACCCATTAAACAATAATTCCCCATTCCCTTCCCCCAGCTCTTGGTAGCCACCATTCTACTTTCTGTGTTTATGAATTTGACTTCTCTAGGTACCTCATATAAGTAGAATTATACAGTATTTGTCTTTCTGTTTCTGCTTTATTTCACTTAGCGTAATGTCCTTAAGGTCTATCCATGTTGTTAGCACGTGTCAAACATTCCTTCCTTTTTAAGGCCAAACATATTTGTATGTATATATCAAATTTTTGTATCCCTTCATTCATCAGTGGACAGCTAGGCTGCTTCTCCTTTTTCGCTGTTGTGACTAGTGCTGCTGTGAAGATGGGTTTGCACATATCTCTTTGAGGTCCTGCATTCAGTTCCATTGGTATGTCCCCAGAAGTGGAATTGCTGGATCATAGGTAATTCTATGTTTGGCTTCTGAGAATTATCCAGCAATTGTGTCTTCTTATACCACTCTCCCTCCCAAAACACAAACTTGGAGATACCTCATATTACAAGATCATCATCCTTTTTCTTCAAGAATGCCTCAAACAAAATGTTCATGTCTTGCTTCTGAGCAGTAAGGATGCAGAGGGGACTTGGGCTGTTGTCCCAGGAAAAGGAGCAAGACCAGTGGGGCCATTCTGGAGAGGTGGCCATGGTAGGTGTTTGGATTACAGATTCTATGCAAGGAAGTGATAGGAAAGATGTGATAGACAGCCTGACACAGTGTTGTGTGGTGATTCTTTTGCTGGAGATGTTGTCTCCTAACTAAAATATCATGAATACTAATGTATACTCTGTAACGTTACCAGGGAAGGGATTGCCTATATGCCTGATTGATTTTTTACTCTCCCATTTCAATTTCCCTCTATTTCTTCATCAGTCAGAAGGTTGGTGCTGTTTAAATTTTTAAAAAAAGCTCTAAGTGTCCCCTTCTCCCAAAAAAAGGAACTAGAAAATGACAAGAAGAGTTGCATTTGTTTATGCAAGTGCATAGAAAGCTTTTCCTGGAAAAGAATAAACTGGGAAAAGATGAGTCATTAAAGTAGAACCCTGTCATAGTGCAACAAACTGAATTTAAGAGGCATCTGTTCCCAGCTTATACAACATCCAGTACCAGTTCCACAGTAGGTATTCACATACCACTCAGATTGTTATTTCTCAATGCTAATGAGAAGCTACTGCTTTGAGACTGTCTAACTAGCTAGATACTTACCAGACTTTGTTTTGATATTTTCTGGTATGAATTAGGCTTCCTTTCTAGTTGTGTTCATGCCCAGATTTTAATATGACATAGTTTAAGTTAACTCATTGTATTGTTTTGTAACCTAGTGTGGCTTTAAAACAGTCGTTTATTATGTAGGATATATGTTTGCACATACAAATATACATGTGTGTATGTGTGTGTGTATAATGGGAGGAATTCTCTAGGGCATATGTTTCCTAAATTAGAAGTCACTAAGTGATATCTTGGAGCCTACAATTATTTGGAATACTGCTATCTTCAGACTAGGAGGTTAAGCATGTATTAAACATAGAGATTCATTTGGGGGGGTTTGCTAGTAAACTGTAATTCTTTCAGTAAGTCACTGCTTTATTGAATGGTGATGATTTGGAGTATCTTCTTTGATTTCCAGGCCAACAATGGAAAGATTTGGTCTTCCTTGAAGCCTTTAGAGACCTGTAGAATGAACTTAACTTCTGAAAACTGGGTGTGGGGCCAATAGAGGGGCTGCTCAATACCTCACCAGCCTGCTATGCGGAAGGCTGGATGGAGGGGCTGCTAAAGGAAGAGAACTGCAGTTCCAACTCCGTCTCCTCCCTGCAGTGTGGCTTCTTAGGCAAGTTCCAGTTTAGAAGTCATCTAACTAAGTGAACATTCTTGAACTGCCACCAGGCCTCCCCTAAAATTCTTTTTTCTAAGCGAACAATATATGCTTTCAGTCTTTTTCTTCTTCCCTCTGCTTTTCCTCTTCTCTCCACTCCCCACTTTAACCT